TGTGTGGTATTTTGACCTGCGATTTAGTTAAAATCTGGTTAAGTCAATCAAATTATTTTTCTGACACTTCAGGAAGTGTCAGAATTTGGATACTTGATATGACAGAATATTTGACTAATAAAAATATAAATACCTCAAATTTAATTTTAGCAACACACAAATATATTCACTCTTTACAAACTAACTTTATTCCTAAAAAAAAAGAATAATGTACAAGATAAATAAAAATATACAGTACATATGCTTAAACTTAAAAATTAATTAACATATGTAACAATTTGAATATAATCCTTTGATTTAATAGTGAATATTTCCCTCATTAATAATGACACTTATAACGTTCCTGCAAACTTTAACAATTACCAAAGGTTACTTTACACTGTATATTTGTTGTTATCACCAATTCGCTTGGGGTAAGCTTACCATTTATTGCTAGATTTGCAACAACAACAATGATCTGATTACGGCGAAAAACAAATAAATGATTGACATTAGTCGCTCGGCATCAGTAAGAAAATGACTACCGTTATTAGTGTACATAAATAAAAATCACGAAAATTGTTTTTAATATATTAATTCAATTAACATTTTAAAAATAATAAATTAATTGCATGTAAATATAATGTGTGTTGTACTATAAAGGAAGTTTAAATAAAGACATCAAATACATATACAAAACTTAAATTTAAAATTAATTTTCCATAATTTTTTGAAGCGGAATGGAGAACCTTCACGCCATATTGAAATTCTTAAACATGCATAACAAAAACAAACAAGCGATTTCTTAAATATGTTAAATATTTAAGCTGTTACTTTTTAAATATTATAAAATAAAATTAAAATTGTAATAATTTTGTGTTGAGATAATTGTTTTGATGCGAAGTGCATTTAAAATAATACGAGTATGTGTAATGGCATAAATAGGTGGGAATGCACACAGTCACACACACACACAGCAGCGTAAGTAAAAACGACTTTATTTTTATATTTGTTGCATTTTTTAAACAAATAGAATTTTAATTATAAAAATAAGAAATTTAAATTTAAAATTAATTTAAATTTAGTTTTATTTATAAATGTTGCCAATATATTCGATAAATTGTTTTTATTAAAAGTACTGATAACATAATTAAATTCAAAAAATGGATTTATTATACATATCAATGTTAATAATGACACTAGCATTAATCGGAATGAAACCTACAATAAGTATTGAAAAAACACTAACAAACACAACAGTGTCATAAAAACAAATACAACAACGCAAGAGTATATGACACTCCCAGTTATACAAGCAAAAACAGTAACACAAAGAAAAAGTAAAAAAAGAGGTGATAACAAAACAAATACAACTACAATGACGACAATAACTTACCAAGAAAGAACAAGGACTCAAGAACAATAATAAGAACAATGACAAAAAGAAGACTTACCTAAATGTCAAATTAAATAAAATTTTTATTGTATTTAAAGCTTAGCGTTTGACTAATTTCTTGCTTTATGCATCTAAAACTAAAAACATTTCTAATATTCTTAATATTTATATTATATATATTTCTATTATATATATTTATATTGTAATACCAATATACACAATTATGTACTTATAAAATTATATTGTAACTATTTCATCTCTACTATTAGATGAAAGATAGAATATGACATATGTATATATCTTAATCACAACAATGAGTCGAATTCGACTAAATGGGTCTATTGTGTCAATTGTTTTTTCTTCACAATGGGATAAATTCCAATCAATGGAAAATATATCTATATAATCTCATGGATTGTTCAAAAAAACCTTCCTATTTTAACAAGAACAAGTCAATTAGAAATGAGATCATGATGTGCCCAAATAAAAAATGCCTAATACTTTTATACTTTTATTGCATTTATACTAGCGTTGGTGTAACCAACACTTAGCTAAGGAAAGCACGAAAAGTAAAATATTTTAAAGAAATGTAAGTCAGCCGAAAATGAAAAATATTTATTTTCAAAAAAATTTAACCAATAAAAATAACATTCGCTATTTTGAATTACAAAAACACTTAAAGTGATTTCGTAAATAGAAACCCAAATGTATCCCTATAGTGTGCACTAATCTTTTAATTTGTTACAAAATATATTGCCTGAAAAGTCCATGGGTTAACCAATAAAACAACAACTATTGTAAAAGTGATTTCGTAAATAGAAACACAAATATATCCATACAGTGGGCACTAATCTTTTAGTTAATTACAAAACATATCGGCTGAAAAGTCCGTGGGTTAACAAATAAAACAACAATTATTGCAATGCAGTCTCATCGAAGATGTATTACAAGATGAGACGAGCAAAAAATATACCTTATACTGTTTTCATCGGCTTCAAATCTCATTCTCTAGAGCACTTTTGAA